TTCCGGTTCAGTGTGTCATGTTTACCTGTCTCACGGTGTTTGAATGTGTTTTCGGCCAAAAAAGGAGCATTTCATTTTCCCCCATTGACTTATAATGGAGAGGTCGCAAAATTGACCTGACATTAGGTCACCGATGTGACTTTGAGATATACCAATTGTTCATACTGATTTCCTCATGCAAAAGCCCGATTCTCAAACTTCTGGTATGTAAACTGTAGGAATGACAGAGTCACAAAGTTTTTAGAGGCATGGTTACCTTACTTGACCTGATGACCTGACCTTATGTGACCTGGGGTTAAAAATTTCACACACGATGCGAAATTTAAGTATCATAAGCTATACCAAGTTTCGCGGTGGTGCGCGCCGCGGTTTTCCTTACACGCGCAAAAAAAACTGGGTGTGGTCAACCCCCATTGGGCGAAGACTGATCCTGAAATATAATATTTGGTCTTCGCGGTCCTCCATGTGGTCCCCAGTAACTTCAGACTCGTGGTTACGCGCCTGCCCATCGGGTCATCAGGGGCCCATCGGGTAACCAGGGGCACATAAATGAAACTTTGCTCGGGGTTACATGAGCAGAGTTAATACGCATTACAAACGGACTACAATGGTGAGCGAATAGGAAAATCCGTTCCTGATACGCATTTACTTGCTCATGTAACCCCGGTATTTGATATCATTTTTTCTTCCTAGTAAAAGACGTTTTATCCAGTGTTTGAAAAAAATATACCGGGGCCTGAGGGGCCCCCTGAGCGCCTTCGGCGCTCAGGAGGGGGCCGTGGCCCCCGTGGCCCCCCCCCTTGGGTACGTCACTGCCGGCCCCCCTCCGTCGGTACGAAGTTGGCGCCAAGGTATATAAAAACACTAGGTAACACCGAAAAATTCCTTCAACATGAAGGCAACGGGTTCAGGTCTTGACAACTAGTGCTAGCATGATTTGCAAGATACTTGCTAGGTAACTACTTTACAGATTTTCCTAATACTTTGCTATTACTTATGTTTCGCGATTTAATAAAGACATATTTTTAGTTATCCTCATTAAAATTCGTTCTTGCCAAGAAATTTGTAATTTCACGGTATGACATCATGCCTTCAGGAAGCCTCGGATATCTCAGTATCTAGGCAGTGAACCTACTTAATTCTGATGTTTTTAGAAATGAAATTGATTTTTGCATTCTCTTGATATGAACTTTTTGGAAAACAACAGAAAAACATTAAATTATCGCTTTTCAAAGTGCCATTTTGTGCTTGATAAGAAGTGATGGCCCTTAGACAGAGCGTTCCTATAAAAAATCTAGAGTGAGCTGGCCTCTATAAAAATTAAAATTAGCACCAGTATTTAATTGTCTGTTAGATGTTAATTTTCATTAAGCTTAAGGTTCTACGGAAAAAGGCGAAATTCGCCCCTAAAGGCTTCAATGTCTGAATGAAAAAAGGCACTATGGTAAAGAGGTAGTTGAAAAATGGGAGGGAGCTGGCCTCTACAAGTTGTTGATTGAGATAGATTAGCGTATTGACTTTCGATTGATATACCTCATTAAGCATATGGTTTTACGGAAAATGGCTAAATTTGTCGAAAACTATCTCGTTTTTGTTATAAACCGTATATTAGAAATGGCGACGTGCGCCACTTCCGTCGCCGACGCCATTTGGACGCCATGTTGCCCGAGATTTGAGCGCTTGTACGCCTTGGCTTCTAAATTTCAAGATGAATATTGACGGCAGAAGACGGCGTTGTGCATATGGGGGGCACGCACTGATTTCAAGTGAGTCGGAAGTGCCAAAATTGAACAAGATTGGTTCCAAGTACGTTTCGAAGTCCGTCATTCAGGCCCTGGGAATGGGTGACCCTGGCAAGCTTGCTGGACGATACCTGTGTCATAAGTGTATTTCCTATGGCAGGTCGCAGATGAAAATTGTTCAGGTGAGATTACTTGACTGATGTGTTGGCTCATAGCTGGGCTCTCCATTGATGTTTGCAGTGTGAATTTACTCTTGTGCTGTGCAGATTCACAGGAATTTGTATCAGTCTGGGAGGTTTGGTCAATCAGTCATTTTTATCATATGCTATTTTTGTCACATGTGCTAAAAATGACAACGATTCTGCTATTTTTGGGAGCGATCCAGTCTGCAAAACGTGGCAGGGTTCGACAAGATCTGGTTGGGGCAGACACATGCTGCGTTCGGATGGGCGGTTTCGTTTTTTCATCGGGGATCAGGTACTCTCTTTGCAGACGTCACCCGAGCTGCCATATCTATGTCTCACTTGCGCAACAATTGTCTTTTCATGGTTAAATATATAACAAAACATATCTAACCTGACCTTACCTTACCTACAACCTACAACCTACCAACCTACAACCTAACCTACCAACCTACAACCTAACCTACCAACCTACAACCTACCAACCTACCTAACTGGATATGGCAGCTCGGGTGATGTCTGCTAAGAGAATCCCAGGGAATATTCCTCAGACCGTTTGGGCAGGCTTCTACGGAGAGTGCGCAAAAACTGTAGCCACTAGGTATATCTCACTCTGCATTTTGGGTCCGCGCTACTTGGAGATACTCCTTAGTCCTTTCTAGCCTAACCAGTTACCAAACCAAATCAAATCAAACAAAACCAAACCAAACCAAACCAAACCTGACCTAATCAAACTCATAAATAAAGCTGGTCCTGTAGCTCAGTCGGTAGAGCGTTGGACTCCGCGAGGTGAGAGCTCGTGTCCCGGTATGACGGTCCGGGTTCGAAGCGCGACGGGCGCTCGATGTTTATGAGCCTCCTGGCGGGTATGGTTGCGGTTGGTGGCAGGCCGTAGCCAGGCGAAGTCAGTGAGGGGACCGGCCGTGCGCGGCTATGTGCGTAGTTAAACTTCTGACTCTAAATTCTGCCATGCACCAGGAATTGCACGATCGGAGGGTAGAGGGCAGAGCCATCGCAACGAGCTCTGCTTAGCGGTGGCTCTGTCCTTGAGAATCCTTCCATTCAAAAGGTTCGGACTAAATTTATAAAAAATAAATGTGCCTCCTTATAATCCTTATGATGGTTGCCGTCCGGCCAAATGATAACTATTACGTACCTAATAATTACCTAATACCTAATGATTACTTTGCTTTCTTTCAACATCAATTAATGACTATTTTGTTTTCTTCCAGGAGAGCCAGCGCCATTCCGGATCTGAAAATGCTCTGCATGTCAGCATTGTCTGGTGAGGATTACCAGCAACTGATAAGCACTTGGTAGTGCTGCCAATGTTTGCCATTGATAGTGTTTATATCATAGAGCTTTGCCTTTCACTGTCAATTGTTGATTTCTTTATTTGGGACACATTTCTATGCTTTGCCATCTGATCTTTTTGGCCCCCCTTTCAGACATACTATGCTACCCAGTAGGTACCCTTATGGAATGGTTATGTATCTTACCCAGTCACTAGTCAGTAAGGTCCTTTCCACATATCTGGAAGTAATCTAAATCCTTTCACTTCTGCACATGCAGGGGTCACCCTGTTGCTCACTTGTTTTACAGCCCTATCCTGATTTGCCATCTTTTTGGCCACCTTTCAGACATACTATGCTACCCAGTACCCTAATGAAAGTGTGGTCAAAAATATTGCAAATCAGGATAGGGCTGTAAACAAACGAGCGACAGGCTGACCCCTGCAGAGTCCTTGTTGGAAGCTGGAACTAACTGAACTCAATTAGTACAAGACATGGAAGACATCAAATAAATAACAAATGAGTATGAAATGTATTTCATTATCCATTGATATTTATTTAGACAACTTAATAAATGACGTTGAATGAAAGAATTATGACATTTCATACTCACTCGTTATTTATTTCGAGACCTTCACCTTTGACATCTTTGTTAAAGGGACCCTCCCACCTTAACATTAGATTTGAGTTGAGATAGCCAAAATGGGGTCCCTGGCTCACAATTACTGGTTTGAGCACTCACAACATCGAGAAATGCCTCAAATCGAAAATATCTAATTTCAAAGTTGCAGCACTTTGGATTCAGAGGGGCTAATGCATTTGATACCCCTCTGAATGTGTGACGTCAGCGCGCAGATCTAACGATTTTTAAATGTTTTGACTAAAACGTTTGATAGCATGCGGTGGTATATGCTGCTTTGCGCGCAGCAAGTGCCGCACTTTCAGCTGCCAAACTATTGCTTCCAAATAAAGTCGCTAGGAACAGCGGAGATCCCAAAAAGTAAACAAAAGTAAAAGTCTAATATCTTGAAAACCGGTGAATATTTTTCAGTGAAATTTGGTAGATATTCTTTTTCGCTTTTTCTGAACCGAGCGACATCACTGTCATGCCAATTCATTAACTTTTTTGAAGGTGGGAGGGTAATTTTGTGTACATTTGCAAATATGTTTTAATCCATTTTCCTCCTTTCACAGGAGATTGCAATATCCTAATCAATCACTACCCTCTAATGACCAACGGGTATATGCTCAGCACATCATCATATCACCGTTCCACACACCATCACATTACAAACATCATCACGCACCAATTAGTATGCGTTTCTGCTCTGAAATGGGTACATTTCAATGCTGTTCACAACCATTAAATCACATGTTCAATCCACTCCTGTTCGTCTCCTCAGTCACCCGGAGACCTTGACCTACTCCTGGTCCTCTACGCCCGCCAGCGCCGCTTCGTCTGCGGTGCCGACCAGCGCCGCTTCGTCTGCGGCCCCCGCCAGCGCCACTTCGTCTGCGGCCCCCGCCAGCGCCGCTTCGTCTGCGGTGCCGACCAGCGCCGCTTCGTCTGCGGTGCCGACCAGCGCCGCTTCGTCTGCGGCCCCCGCCAGCGCCGCTTCGTCTGCGGCCCCCGCCAGCGCCGCTTCGTCTGCGGTGCCGACCAGCGCCGCTTCGTCTGCGGCCCCCGCCAGCGCCGCTTCGTCTGCGGTCCCCGCCAGCGCCGCTTCGTCTGCGGTGCCGACCAGCGCCGCTTCGTCTGCGGTGCCGACCAGCGCCGCTTCGTCTGCGGCCCCCGCCAGCGCCGCTTCGTCTGCGGTCCCCGCCAGCGCCGCTTCGTCTGCGGTGCCGACCAGCGCCGCTTCGTCTGCGGTCCCCGCCAGCGCCGCTTCGTCTGCGGTGCCGACCAGCGCCCTTCTGCATGGTACCTCGCCTGATGTAGCCACGCAGGGCGGAGAGTGGAGGTGAGCTATTACTGATTAGTTTTGTCCAGGTAAATTCAGAAATATCATGTTCATGCCACATCATCAGAGTCGCCTCACCAATCAACATAATATTTTCAGGGATGAGGGTCCAGGGGACCCATTTGTATTTGTTCTCACTTTTCACCTTGTTTCTTTGTTGAATCTGTATCCCTTAGTCTCTTTACAAACCAAACTATGTACTTTTTCATGGATAGAATTGCTATATGCCATGGGATGTACAAAAATGCAACTTTGTGCCTAGCTCTAGGCTAATAAGAAGTGTATTTCATTAAAATATCATGTTTTGTTTGTATGTTGAATGGTTTGCATATGAAGATAATTTCCAGCGGCTGCTAATATGTTATGCAGCCCTCTCCTTTAAGTGACCATCCCACCTTAGCATTAGTTTTCAGTTGAGATAGCAAGATTGGGGTCCCTGGCGTGCAATTACCGGTTTGGGTACTCACAACATCGAAAAATGCTTCAAATCGAAAATATTTGATCTCAAAGTTGCAGCACTTGGATTCAGAAGGGCTAATGTTTTTGAATGTCCCCCTCTGAATGTGTGACGTCAGCGCAGATCTGACGATTTTAAAATATTTTACTAAAACGTTTGGTAACACCTGGTGATATATGCTGCATTGCGCGCAACATCTGCCGCACTTTAAGCATGCCAAATTAGGTATTGCTTCCAAATGACGTCGTAGGAACAGCGGAGGTCCCAAAAAGTAAAAAGTAATACAGCAGCTGGTCACAGCTGGACCAGTGGCGTGTGTTACATACACGCGCTTAGACAATGTGTACACCCTTCCTAAATCTGGTTGGTTTCTTTTCAGGGGATTGTGTTTATCTATTGGTCATCATGCATCAGCAGTGTGCGTCCATCTTGTGCTCCACTGACCTAGGCGCAGTTCCATGCTGTTCATTGCCATGCAGTCCCATGTTCAATCCACTCCTGTTCGTCTCCTCAGTCACCCGGAGACCTTGGCCTACTCCTGGTCCTCTACGCCCGCCAGCGCCTCTTCGTCTGCGGCCCCCGCCAGCGCCGCTTCGTCTGCGGTCCCCGCCAGCGCCGCTTTGTCTGCGGTGCCGACCAGCGCCCTTCTGCAGGGCACCTCGCCTGATGTAGCCACGCAGGGCGGAGAGTGGAGGTGAGCTATTACTGATTAGTTTTGTCCAGGTAAATTTAGAGTAATCATACACTCACTTTCTGTCTTTTTGTTATTTTTGTCATTGTGTGTCAGACAACTTCACCGATAACACTGATACAATTATTTTTAGGGAACCTGCTTCTTGTGTTCTCAACTTGTTTCTTTGTTGAATCATTTCTCCATCATTATCTTTCTGGACCCATTTATATGATTTTTTTCTGAAACTGGATTGCTCTATTCCATTGAGTGTACCTATTGCAATGCAACTTTGTGCCTACATAACTCAGCTGTAGGGTGATACTTGTGCAGTTCATTATCTGGATGTCATGTGCCGTTTGTATTAATTGTCTGCAGGTGATGAAAGTATCTTCCAGCGGCCAGTTTATTAGATGCGACGAGTCTCTCTCTCTCTCTCTCTCTCTCTCTCTCTCTCTCTCTCTCTCTCTCTCTCTCTCTCTCTCTCTCTCTCTCTCTCTCTCTCTCTCTCTCTTTCTCTCTCTCTTTCTCTCTCTCTTTCTCTCTCTCTTTCTCTCTCTTTCTCTCTCTTTCTCTCTCTTTCTCTCTCTTTCTCTCTCTCTCTCTCTCTTTCTCTCTCTCTCTCTCTCTCTTTCTCTCTCTCTCTCTCTCTCTCTCTCTCTCTCTCTCTCTCTCTCTCTCTCTCTCTCTCTCTCTCTCTCTGTCAGTCTCTCTATCTCTCTCTCTCTCTCTCTCTCTCTCTCTCTCTCTCTCTCTCTCTCTCTCTCTCTCTCTCTCTCTCTCTCTCTCTCTCTCTCTCTCTCTCTCTCTCTCTCTCTCTCTCTCGGAGGGTCGATCGGAGGGTCGACTCGCCGGACAGCCCGGATGAATTCTATCACCAACGTCGCCGGTCCGCCGAGGACGTCCCCCAGGCTCGGGTCGAGTCCCCAGCGGCGGCGTCGCGCAGCTTCATAGGCCGGACAGTCGGTCAACAGGTGGGCCGCGCTGTCCGGCTCGCCGCACGCAGGGCAGGCCGCGTTCACCGCCAAGCCTAGGCGGTGGGCGACGTCCCGCGTGAGCGGCGACGCGCCCGTCCGCAGCTGGGAGAGGGTACACGCCTCCCAGCGGGACAGATCGTTGTGGCCCGGTGTGGGCGCCGGGTGGGGGTGGGACGCTCCTGTTCTCGCGTCGACCATCGTCCCCACCCGACGCCCGATCGCGCTTCTGGCGCTGGCGAAGTCGATTGGGACGTCCGGCTGTTCCGCAGCGGCCGCTTCTCCTCCCCCTCCCTCCCTCCCTCCCTCCCTCCCTCCCCTCCCCTCCAGTGGATTTGTAGCTCGCGGCCTGTGTCTGAGACTCTGACAGCTTTTTGGTCTGAGACTCTAACAGCTTACGCACTAAGACAATGTGTAAACTTTTCAAAATATCTGGTTGGTTTCTTTTCAGGGCATTGTGTTTATGTATCGGTCATCATGCATCAGCAGTATGCGTCCGTCTTGTGCTTTACTGACCTTGGCGCAGTTCCATGCTGTTCATTGCCATGCAGTCCCATGTTCAATCCACTCCTGTTCGTCTCCTCAGTCACCCGGAGACCTTGGCCTACTCCTGGTCCTCTACGCCCGCGGCGCCCGCCAGGGCCGCTCCGTCCGAGGCGCCCACCAGGGCCGCTCCGTCCGAGGCGCCCGCCAGCGTCTCTACGCCCGCCAGGGCCGCTCCGTCCGAGGCGCCCGCCAGCGTCTCTACGTGCGGCACGCCGTCCGTTGCCGCAGAGTGCGGGGACCTGAATGTCGCAACTCCGATCCGACCACATAGGTTAGTTGTAAAGCGATGTGAATAAGGTTCATTTTTTTCAGCATTTATGTGTATTTTACAGTATATCTATTAAGTACGCACGGTATTAAGTGAATTCGGTACGTACCATGCGATCACATTTCCTCTCTTGGCTTGGTTTAACTTCTTTGTCAGAATGTGGATACTGCTTTTAGCGCAACCAAATGACAGTCGGATTACCGTTAAGTACATGGCGTCGAAATGGCTTTATTTACCATTTGCGTTTGCAATATCATTGAAATGCACTTAACTCTTGTCTTTTATAGGCGTGTTCCGAGGCGAGGCCTTGGACTGTCTGGGACTACCTCAACCACGGCAACTGCTGCCTGCCGCACTACGTCTGCGACGTAAGTTTAAACCATATGCACCAACTTTTTACACCAATTTTTACCTCATATGTACCATATGACCAAATGGTACTGTTAAGACGTACCAGACTGTGCGCGCCGGAATTTTCGTGCCCTTGTCGAAGTGAAAGGCTTTGTCATCTTGCATTTATTTTGCTTTTGCCAACTGCCAGCCGTTGTGATTGATCCCTCTTATCTTTTTCGCCGCCAGGTCCAACGCCAGTGGTCACACGCCGTCTTCTCGGCGGCCCGGATATGATCGGTAAGTTCACTGTGCATATCGGCTTAGCCATCTTTCATAAGCTAAGGATAAGATATTCGGGTAATTCTTGGACACCGTGCAGATCTGCACTTGTGTCATACTGTTCTGTGAAATAACAAATGTACAGAAATGGTAACAATCGAAAGCTCTTTGGATTTAAATCTGCTTTCGATATCGACCATTTCTACTGCACAGCAACACACCTTTACCATCTACGATTATTTTCACAGGCCGCCGTCCGTGAGGACGCCTCTCCACTGCCGCCTGTGGAAGGGGGATCTCACCATCAGCCAGCGGCGCTGCGCCTCACTGAAGGCAGAGAAGCGCGAGCTGACGGCCGAACTGCGCCGCGAGCGTCGGCGACACCGCGCCGAGGAGCGCCGCTGGAGGGCCGAAGAGAAGCGGCTGCGCACACAGCTAAGCGACGCGGAGGACGCCGTCACCCAGCTGAAGAGCGCGCTTGGTGGGATTTTCTCCGACCGCCAGCTCACCACCCTGCGGACCGGGCGGCGCGTGAACTGGGAGCAGCAGGACATCGTCCGCGCGCTGGTGATCCGCTGCTGCTCGAGGAAGTGCTACCAGCTCCTCAAGGACAAGTTCCAGTTCCCGCTGCCCGGACTCTCCACCCTCCGCCGCTGGACTCGAGGCTTCCGGACGTCACCGGGGATCCTGGACATGGCTCTGCAGATCATGCGCTCGTCCGCAGACACCATGACGTCGCATGAGAGGCTGCTCGTCATGTCCTTCGACGAGATCACCATCGATCCCCGCGTGGCGTACGACTCCACGGACGACGCGGTCTACGGCCCCAACGACAAGATGCAGGTGGTGATGGTCCGCTCCTTGTGCAGTCGTTGGAAGCAGCCCGTCTTCTTCGACTACAACAAGGACGTCACCAAGGACCTTCTCCACCGCATCATCGCCGCCGTGGAGTCTGCCGGCTACGTGGTCGTCGCCATGGTGTGCGACCTGGGGCCGGCCAACCGGAAGCTGCTGTGGTCGCCGAAGGCCGCTGACGGACTGGGCATCGACCCGGAGGACGGGTTCTTTGCCCATCCGTGCGACCCCAGCCGGTAAGTCAACTTTTCTAACTTTCTTATTCATCGGTTTTTAACTTCGGACACTAATTTCTAGGGAGACCATAAATAAGCTTATATTTCGATGTTGTGTAGCAAGTTTATGTAGCCACAGCAACTCTTCATTCATGTTGCATTGAAACCAAATATGTCATGTATGTCATGTGTAGCAAGGTAATGAAGGAAAAAAAAGAAGAAAATAAAGAAAAATTACTCCATCTGGCGGTTCATCAAACACCGCGATCCACTGTCGCTCAACTGGTTGTAGAAGAACAGAGCTATTTGCTGCTGGAAAGAACTCGATAGTAGAGCTTGTAGAACAGGGGAGCTTGAGAGTCGTTGAAGAGATCCCGAAATAGATCTAGAGAGAGATCCAGATATATATAGTGATGAAGATGAGATCCTGAGATAGATGAGATCCACCTGATAGAGATGAAGATATCCAGATAGGGATCTTGAGATGGAGATCCAGATCCACCTTGCGTACAAATACATCTGATGGAAGATGCTTTTTAATTTAGAGGCTTGATGATTCTGTTCATTGTATAGACCATGATGCACGAGATGCTTCTTCACTGCTCGGATTTGGGATAGAGGGATCCGATCAGCTGGGTTTGCGGCACAGTTGGGCAGGTGAAGGACAGGGCATTCGAAGTCCCGATGACCACTGCCAAACATATGGGTGGTAATTACATTGATAAATTGAATGTGATCATTTGTCCAGTCACCCATTCCTATACTGGCCTTCCCATTAAGAAAATTGCCCACTTAATTCGTATTAGCGTTGCTAGTTTTAACTGCCCTCGAGAATCATTTGTTCGACTGCCGTAACCGAATTCTATCAAATTCCTATCGGCCTTATTCTAAGATTCATGCGTCGTCATTCTCACACCCTTGCTCGCATTACGTTTGCATTTCGTGTATACACCCAAATTTAATTGATAGCCCCCGAAATTCCCTCCGATAGTGTTAGGCGTCTTACAAACCAGGGTCTCCCCGGCGAGATAAATGTCTCTTTCCGAAATCCATATGCATGCTCCGCTAACCGGCGACTAAGATACTTATCGCAGGGCCGTCCAGAATAATTGCACAAATATCCACCCTGCTAATTTATGGGATTCACTACACGTCCGATAGACTTATGGTACACATATACGCGATTTACATCCGACTTATCTCTCTATCCGGGAGAGATTACCTATGCCCTCTTCCGGTCCGCGTGTAACACCTCCGTTCACGACCCAGGGACCACCGTTCATATCCTGGAACTCTCCTCAGGAACTCTCCTTAAACCATGGGATTTACTCTTCAAGGCCTTACGTGTCCTGGAGTACATTCTTCCCTCCCCTGAGGCTGTCCAGTACCGATTAAGGTACCTTTACAAAATAAGTATGAGGACTTATTCGGGACACTACGGCTCGCCTTATCCGCACTTTTGGGTGACTCACCCCTGACCCTCGGCTTCTTGCCTTTGGCATAACTTACTCTCCACTGCACACTGTGCCCATCTTCCCCTTCCCCTTGCCGTAGAAACCTCTCACTGCCTTCTCACCCAGTGTTACCTAAGCGGGAAAATTAACAGTGGCCGGTACCACTGGCGGAAAACGTGCATATGCCCTGCGTACGTGACGGCGTGTCCCTCTTATTATTCCGGTCTGGACGTGGGTTTAGAGAAGTGCATCTGTGTCTCATACAGTCATGCTGGTAAACATTACGCCATA